GTCTTGTACCTCACATCCATGGCTTCTACATGGAGTAGAAATAAAGTAGTGGCTTGCCTCCTTGTGATACGCACTCAAGATATATCTGGAGAGATGGCTCAGTAGTTAAGAGCACTTGCTGCTCTTGCAGGGGAATGGGTTCAGTTCCCAGCAACCATATGGTGGCTCACAATGGTCTATAACTCCAGTTATAGGATATCCAATGCCCTTTTCTGTCCATCATGGATATCAGGCTTGCACATGGTGCACATACATACAGGCAGGCAAGATCACACAATACATTTAAAACATTTTTTAAAGCTGTATCTTTAAATTTTATGAACATTAGGATGAAAAGGGGATACTATCAACCACTCCACACACATAAATCTAATAATATATATGATATATATTATACATATATACATTATATATATAATAGATCAATATCTTAAAAAACTAAGCTACCAAATGTTAACCAATATGAAATAGGTAACTGTTTTTTATGTATATTTTTTATTTTATGCACATTGCATGTGTGTCTATGCACTGTGTGAGTGCCTGGTGCCCAGTGAGGCCAGAAGAAAGCATTAGATCCCCTAAAACTGGAGTAACAGATGGTTTGTGAGCCATATGAGGGCTGGGTATTGCTCTTCCTCTTGAAGAGCAGTCAGTCCACTGAGAAATCTCTCCAGCCCTAAAACTGATTATTTGAATAGTCACATGATTATTAAAAAAACCCAGCTCCCCCAAAACTGACCCCCAGTGTAGTAGCACACATCTGTGGCCCCAGCCTTGGGAAGAGAAGGCAGGAGGATCAGGGCTTCCTGACCATCCTCAGCTACATAGTGAGTTGTTGGCCATTTGGGGCTATATGAGATTTCTCAAACAAACAAAAAACAAAATAGAATAGAGCTTGTAATTTTAAAAACACCTTAGGAAAAAAAAACTTCAGGCCCTGCTGATTTCACAGGAGAATTCAACCAAATGCTTAATTAAAATTAATACCCATTTCTACACAATGTTTTCCAGTAAACAGAAGACAAGGAACATTTTGTAACTCACTTTATGATGCTGGATTTAACCTGATCTTGAAACCGTAACAGTAAGAAAGAAAAAACAAATGAACAAAACAAGTAATCAGCAGGATGTGGTGGTACATACCTGTAATCCCAGCACTTGGGGTCAGAATTACAACTTCAAGTCCAGTCTGGTTTATATATCAAGTTCCAGGTCAGGGGATACCAAGTGGAACTCAGTCTCAAAGTAGAAAACAAAGAGAGGGAGAGAGAAAATGTGGATTATAGACCAATGTCTTTCACAAGCATGGGTATAATAAAGCAATATGAAAACAATGTTGCTTCATGATTACATTGGGTTTTTCTAGAGATGGGAAACTGGTTCAATACTCGTAAATCAATCAGTGTTGCCTACCATATTAACATAAGCTACAAAGAAATCCTACATGATAATACTAGTTGATCATTAAAATATGTGACATCATCCAGCACCCATTCATGCCAAAACTTCTTGGAAAAAAATGGAACAGGAAGGAACTTCCCCAACTTGTTAACAAATATCCATCTATTTGTCTATCCATCCATCTATCTATAAACCTTTCAACCAATACTACCATCCATCCTTAGATGACCTTAGAGACCAAATGTTTCCCCCAAAAGCCTCTGTTATCAATCCTACTCAACAAAGTATTGGAAAACCAGTGGAACTCAGTGGGATGAGTTTCTAGGTTATTCCTTCTGCATAATAGCGGAGACAAAAGCCAGGCTGAGAAGAATGTAGGGTAAAGGAATGGAAACAGTTCTTCCACAGGTCACAAGGACTGGTCAAATGAGATTATAGATTCAGACACACCTTTCTTCCTGTCATTTATACCTCTGGGAGAGGGAAAATCAATTTTTTCCAATAGAGTAACATTGGATATATCAACCACTTCAGGGCAGGTTTCATGTTCAGGAGTAGTTGACCAACATATAATAGACTCACAGTTTGTGTGTATGTATGCTTGTGCTTTATTTAGTTACAGTTTGTTTTTTTTTTTTCTTTTTAAGTGGTGTTTTGTTTTATTGGTTTTGGGGGCTTTGTTGTTGTATTGAGTTCTTGTTTGTTTTTTGAGAAAGACTTGAGGGAGGGGAAGAATATGATCAAAGTAATTTTAAAGTTAAAAATTGTTTTATATATATAAAATCTAACAGTATATTATATATACTTTCTTCATTGAACAAGCTTCAATTTGAGTGTTAATTTTTCTTTCTTTCTTTTTTTTTTTTTTTTTTTTCAAGACAGGGTTTCTCTGTGTAGTTTTGGTGCCTGTCCTGGATCTTGCTCTGTAGACCAGGCTGGCCTCAAACTCACAGAGATCCGCCTAGCTCTGCCTCCCAAGTGCTGGGATCAAAGGGGTGCGCCATCACCGCCTGGCTGACTCTTAATGTTTCAAAGAGCCCTAGACATCTTGATCTCACTATGTACACCAGGGTGGCTTCAAAGTCACAGGGACCTACCTGCCTCTGTATCCTGAATGCTGGGTCTAAAAGTGAGCGCCACCATTCCCTGCCTGTAGGTTTAGCGCTGAAAGAGTGGGAGTTTCAGACAGCTCCTATTGTGACTTTTGCACCATTTTCTACAGTACCTGGCACATAGCAGGTAACAATTTCCCACTAACCGTGACATAGAGTAAAACTCAAAGGGCTGGACAATCTGGTGTAAGGGGTGACGTGTAACTGTTACCACGTGCCTAGGTCCTAACTGCTCTTTTATGTGCAGGGTACTGTCTGTCACAGACTTTACTAACTCCCTAAAGCGTATGTCTCTCCTCCTTCCCCTTTCTCTCCTCTCACCTTATGTAAGTCATTACAACTTGTTATTCTACATTTCATCATGCATTTACATAACATCCTTACCAAAATGCATTCTCCACGAAGGCAAAGATTCAGTTGGTTTTAGTAACCAGTGTCTAGTCTAAAACAGGTATATTCAATTACATGTGAATCTGTTGTGCTTGTATTTCCTGTGTAGAGCAGGGACTCCCTGGACACATGAATTTAAAGTGACAGCAGAGGTGGACACTTCTTCAATAAATTCAATTTTCTATCCTCAGATCTTTCTATCAGACAATTGCTCCTGACCTGTCTTTTCTTTTTTCTTTTTCTTTCTTTCTTTTTTTTTTCCTGATCACGCAGTCAGAAGTTGTTGAGTTTTAGCAAGTCCTCTCTAAGCATTGTCTTCATTCTGTCTTTTGTTTGTTTTTCGAGACAAGGTTTCTCTGTGTAGTTGGAACTTGTTCTGTAGACTAGACTGACTTCAAACTAAGATCTGCCTGCCGCTGCCTCCCTAGTGTTGGGGTTATAAGGCTCATTCTGTCTTAGTACTTCTCACCAGAAGTGCACTCTCGCTGACCTGGCTTCCCTGCTTTCCCTACCTTTTTTTTTTTTTTTTTTTTTTTTTTTTGTTTTTCGAGACAGGGTTTCTCTGTGTAGCTTTGCGCCTCTCCTGGAACTCACTTGGTAGCCCAGGCTGGCCTCGAACTCACAGAGATCCGCCTGGCTCTGCCTCCCGAGTGCTGGGATTAAAGGCGTGCGCCACCACCGCCCGGCCCTACCTTTTAGGACATAACTGTCCTAGTTTTTTGAGTAGCCCCGGCAGGCAGAGGCCTGGACTTCTAGATCTAACCGGATGTCGGTTCTATGGGCTCTTTCAGAAAATGGGCTCTTTCAAAAAAATTTCTAGATAAGGTTTCTTGGTGTAGCCCTGACTGTCCTGAAACTCGCTCTGTAAACCAGGCTGGCCTCATACTCAAGAGATCTGCTTGCCTCTGCCTCCCAGGGGCTGGGACAAAAGGCGTACACCACCACCGCCCAGCATGTAAAAGGGTTTTCGCTGCCCTTTTGTTTTTTGAGACCAGATCTTCAGAGCGCGGGGTAGAGCAGGCTGGCCTTCAAGTCACAATGATCCTCCACTTCTGCGTCCTGATGCGCCACCACACCCAGCATTTTTCATAAATGTTAAATTCAACAGGGCAGCTTCATATTTTTGAGGACAAGGGGTTCCGGGAGATGTTCCAGAATCTTCCGCTGCACCAAACAATAGATGTTAAAAATAGGATTTTATAGCTTGGTGATGGCAGCGCACACCTTTAATCTTGAAAAACCAAAAAATAAAATAAATAGCAAGTTATGACAAATATTCAAACACTATCTCATTGATTTGATTCCCTATAGGGAGAACTTGAATACTATCAGAATTTCTTTTTATTTTTTGCTTTTCTCGAGACAGAGTTTCTCTATGTAGCCCCGGCTATCCTGCAACTCTCTTTGTAGACCAGGCTGGCCTCGAACTCAAGAGAGATCCTCCTGCCTCTGCCTCCCAAATGCTGGGATTAAAGGCGTGCGCCAATGCCAGGCTAGTGTGGTTTTAATCTCAGCACTCGAGAAGCAGAGGCAGATGGATCTCTGTGAGTTCAAGGCCAGCCTGATCTACAAGAGTGAGCTCCAGGTCAGACTCCAACAAAACTACACAGAGAAACCCTGTCTCGAAAAACAAACAAACAAAAGGCGTGCGCCACCGTGCCAGGATAGTCTGACTCCTTTTCATTGAGTCAGCGGGGAAAGTAGAGTGTGTTCGGGACTAATTGGACATTTCAAACGTTCCATCTTCGCGGTGAATGAAGCTGAGTTCTTTCAGAGCGGTTCTCTCTCCGAAGACTGTCCGTCCGCCGTCACCCCGTCCGCGAACACAGGAAAGACTACAACTACGGAAGCTGAGAACTTCCCCACACGGAACCAAATGCCGACTCCTACGGGGCGGGAGAACGAGTGATACCGAGACACTTGCCCCCCGGAAATACTTCCGGGGACATTCTAGGCGGCCTACCACGTTTCAGGAGAGCTTCCGCTTTCCCGCCCCTCCACTTCCGCTGTCCCGCCTCTTTTTTCCCCGCCACCCGGATATGAGCCGTTCTCGCGAGAGCTGGTCCTCTTTCTAAGCCGGCACTCCGTAAGGTAGGTTCGCGGCGGGCGCTGTGGCCGTGGGTTTTTTTTTGCGGAGTTTGGGGGGAAGGACTCTCGGGCGCCGTCCGGGGCGGCGGGCCGTGCGCCCCGGGTGGGGATGCGGCGGATTACCCGGTCTGCGCCCGTCGATGACCCCGGCCGGGCGCCCCGCGACCCAGGTGACCGGTGACACCTCCCTCCCCGCAGGACGAGCCATGTTCAGCTCGAGCGCCAAGATCGTGAAGCCCAATGGCGAGAAGCCGGACGAGTTCGAGTCTGGCATCTCCCAGGTGAGTTGGTCTCCGGGTTCTCCCCCGGCCCTGGGTCCCCCCCCCCCCCCCCCCCCCCCCCCCCCCCCGTCCCCGACTCCGGTCCTCACTCCCCGGCCTGGCACCCACGTTTTCCCCGTCCGCAGGCGCTGCTCGAGCTGGAGATGAACTCCGATCTCAAGGCGCAGCTGCGGGAACTGAACATCACCGCGGCCAAGGTGAGTGGGGACCCCCGGGGTGAAAAAACGTAGAAGCGGTGGACGAGCGAACTTCCCAGTGCAGGTTACACTCTCTCCAAGTTCGTGCATCTTGCTACAACCGATGCTAGCATTTCTTGTCTGGTTACTGACTTGAAACGTGAACTTCCTGGAAGTGTCTGGACCCAGTGTGACTCCAAACGGGACAGTCAGGATTACTAGGTTTTTTTTTCTAAGCTCTTGGTATGGCAGAGTTTTGTCTAAGGTTGATTTTGTGAGTATTGGTGGTTTTCTTGTGTGCATGTTTATGCACCACGTGTGTCCCTGGGACTGGATGGTTGTTCCATGGAGTTCTTACTGACAAAATCCTACTGTGTTTGGATAGTTTACAGTGTGGAGAAGAGGTTTAACACCGAGGACACCCAGGCCATGGTGATTTAGTTTACCCTTGTAGACAGTTCCATCGTGCTGGGGCCAGAGTCCTGGGTGGTGTGCCCCTGACTGGTGAGGCAGGATCTCTTGTAACCTAGGCTGGCTCCCCATTTCGTAGCTGAGGCTGTCCTTCTGCCTCCACCTCTCCAGTGCTGGGGCGGTGGGCACATATGGTCATTCGGGTTCTGTTGTAGAGTCTCCCACATTAATTCTGGGATTACATTTTAGTGACTTCTTCCAGTGGCTAACATCCTAGAGATGCCGTCTCTGGACCCTAACCCCACTGTCAGTTCCTCAAAATGTGGGTTAGGTTTTAACTCATGAACTTCAGGGATGAGTAGGATGTTGTTTGAAAGGGGGGCTGTTAGTTGGTTGTGGTGGAGCATGACATTAATCCCATCATTTGTTATGATGGTTATGTCTGGGATAAAGGCCAGCCAGGTCCACGTAGACTCTGTCTCAGAAGGGGGCCGTTCTGGATTCAGGCATTTGACCATGTGTATTCACATTGAGTGGGGCAGGGGGAAATGGAGGTGAAGGACTTACATGACATGAACTTTTTTCCTCTTAGGAAATTGAAGTTGGTGGTGGCCGGAAAGCTATCATAATTTTTGTACCAGTTCCTCAGCTGAAGTCTTTCCAGAAAATCCAAGTCCGGCTGGTTCGTGAATTGGAGAAAAAGTTCAGTGGGAAGCACGTGGTCTTCATTGCTCAGGTATCTGCTTAGTTCCCTGTGCTCTGAACTACTTGGGTTTAGGTTTCCGTGGGGAGAATGATGCCACCCCTGTTAGTGTAAAGCTTGGTGCTGGGGTGAGAACACACAAGTGTGTTCACTCTGGGGAGTCAGCAGTCTGAAGGTCTGGTAAGTGATGGCGCTGTAAGTTTAGCATTGGATTTGGTGCAATGTGGTGGATATAGTGTGAGGGCTGATTAGGAAACGGAATGCCGTTAAGGCATGTTAGTGTGCTGGGTAGTGAGCCGTTTTGAATGTGAAAACCGGTGTTTTTGCATTTAAAGCAGTGGGACATATCTTAGCTTTACATCCGCTCACTCACTGTTTATGTGTTTGTTTTCATAAAAGAGGAGGATTCTGCCCAAGCCAACTCGGAAAAGCCGCACGAAAAATAAGCAGAAGCGCCCCAGAAGGTGAGTGTCCGCCTGCCTCACTCGGGCTGGTGGTTTGTGTAGGCTTTGAGTGCACACATTGACATGGAGTCCTCCTTGGGTAGCAGTCTCTGGTACATGGGGTGTGTTGGAATACTTTCTAGACATAAAAGTTCAGGGGTTCCCAACGGCACGGTGTTGTCTGTCCCACAGGTGAGGCTTGTTCCTCGTAACAAATCTCTTGGGTGTAGCTCGGGCTGGGGTGATTCTGTGTGTTAGAGACAGAACATGGGTGGGTTCCATTTGCCATTGACAGTGCTAATGGTCACTTCCTGCTTTGGTTTTTAGACTTAGGCCTTCTGGTGGTGGTGGTGTTGCTGTAATTATATCAGATTTGCATTGTAGATCCCTGCAGACTTGCAGGGACCAGATTGAGGGTGAAAAGTATAGTTTCCCCTCATAACTGCTACAGGCCGTCTATTCATGAGACATGCAGTTTGTATTGTGTTGTGTGGTAGCGCTTTTGAGACAGGGTGTTGAAGTCCAGATTCGCCTTGAACTTGCTGTTTTAACTCCTGCCCCTACTACTGCTCAAGTGCTGGGATTACAGGTACACACCACCATGCTCTGTGGGTGTTTGTATTGCAGTGCAATTAATCTAAGAATTTCTTAGTTCAGTCTTGTTTTGAAAGCCTTGGAAAATAGATGGGAATTTGGTTTGTGAATAAATGCTGTCTGTAGGAAAGAGGAGGGGTAATGGTCACAGCTAAGGCCATAGTTTTTTGTGGGCACTTGGAATGGTAGGATTTTTGCCATAATACTTAGTGGGGTTTGCAGTTACAGTCCTTGGAGCCTGGTCATAATTGTAGATTAAGTAGCTCGTGCATAGCAGAGCTAAGATTGCCTGCCATGGCTGTAGTGTTCCCAGTGACCTTAGCAACTTCTGCTCTTGACCTCCAGGTCATTGGCAGGGTGTGGTAGCCCTATACTTCTGTCTCCAGACAGACCCCCTCCTAGTGTGATGTGCTTTAAAGAGGAGCAGTGAGCAGCCATCTGATTACTGCATGGTACTGCTGTGTGAACATACGGAGAGGGTGTGTGCTGTTTAGACTACAGCCATAACACCAATCCCCCAGAGTTTGGAGTTGCAGATGGTTCCTCACTGGTGTAGGGTGGTTTTGTAACAGTGTGCACTCAGGAGAAATAAGTTGGGATTAGTGCTTTTCCCAGGCTAATGATGCGTCATGAGCTTTGATGCTGGGCAGCAGATGCATCTCTCAGGTACCATGTGATCACCTTGTAACACTTGGCACCCACGGTGATCTCTTGTAAGCTGGGGTCCTTGCTAGGTCAGGTGTGGTAAATGTCTGGCTAGGCTATTTCCACCTGTGCTTGTAAGTCAGGGAGCCATTATGCAGCTTGCCAGGCCTTGGGGTTGGGGTGCTCTGAGAAGCAAGGGTCCACTGGAGGTCACCTAATGGCTGTGCCAGGAGGTGGAATGCTGTCTTGTTTGTTCATGGAAAATGAGAGTTAGTGGCATCTGGGAGGCCAAGGAAAGAGCCCAGGAGTTTTTGATTGGGTGAATTACATGGCCAGGTTAAAAACTACTTGAGCTGTGCATGGAATGAAGAGGAGCTTGCTGCACTTGAGAATAGCAGCATGTGAAAGGCCCTGTCCCCAGATTCAGTACTCTTGCCGTGTGTAGGCTGCCAGGGTGTCATTAGCGCATACAGCTTTGGACACATTCTGGCTTGTCACTCAGACAAAAGCTTTAGTCTTGGGGTGCTGGCTGAATAACCAGCCTCTTTAGGAGCCAAATGTGTTGAGACAAGGACTCCTGGTGGCCCTGAACTCAGTTTGTCACAGGTGTGAGCCACCACGCTCAGCTCCAGTGCTGATTTGGTTTCAGGAATCTGGACTCGGCTGTTTTCCACTTTATTCCGAGGGTGCCTTCTGCCGTGTTGCTTACCTTTGCCATTCTTTCAGCCGCACCCTCACTGCAGTGCACGATGCCATCCTCGAGGACTTGGTCTTCCCAAGTGAGATTGTGGGGAAGAGGATCCGCGTGAAACTGGATGGCAGCCGGCTCATAAAGGTTCATTTAGACAAAGCCCAGCAGAACAACGTGGAGCACAAGGTAAGGCCTTCACATTCGTAGGAAGGTCCAGCCACTGGGAACATGGAGATACAGAAGGAAGCAGGCTCTGGGTCTGGCCTCCAGTTTCAGAGAGGGCAGATAATAGGACAACTTGGGTGGGTGGTATATTACAAGGAGGAATGGGGGTGCTGTCTTGATATTTGCTGCCCCATTAGTGATGAATTCTATTGTCTTTTTCAGGTTGAAACTTTTTCTGGTGTGTATAAGAAGCTCACAGGCAAAGATGTTAATTTTGAATTCCCAGAGTTTCAGTTGTGAAGAAAATGACTGAATAAAGTGTCATTCATAGTATTTGGTTGTATCTTTTTTAAAATTTCAGGGCCATAGATACAGTGATAGGTAGCTTCCTGAATGAAGTGAAGGTTTGAAGTGAAGTCTGGAAGTATGTCCTGTGTCTGTCTTTGGAGCCTGGTTTCACTGTAGCACAGACTGGTGTAAACACGTCTCCTGGTTTTGCCTCTCATGACTCCACATCAGGTTAAATGGAGACAGCATTGTCCACAAAAATCGGGACCTGAAGTGGCAAGGAAGCTCCTGGTGTGGATCACGTGGTGCAGGTGGAGCAGGCGTCCTTTGCTAAATCTTAGGCAGGCTGGAGAAACGCTCAGGAGGCCCCCTGTGTGCGACAGGCACTGTTGTAGAGGGAGGGGATGCAGGTGTGGGTGTGTGACTTCACTGTGGTGCCCTGACCTTGGCGGATGTGAGTGAGCAAAGCATTAGTCTCCACAGGAGTGTTGTGTTCCTGCTGTCCGTCCTCTTCTAGGAGCTGCAGCTGTGGTGGTGTTCCCTCTGTCCTGAAGCACCACTTGCTCAGCTCACCTTAGCACAGCTGCCGGGTGCTCACAGCTCTGCAGTGGACTCCACCTCAGTGCAGCTGGTGGTGTGCTCTGGTGGCTGAAAGGGGGTGGTGAATTTGGGGCTAACCTGGGTTACATACAAGGCTTCAAGCCAAAAGGGCTGCTCTTCAGAGGACCTGGGTTTGATTCCTGGTGCTTACATGGTGGCTCACAACCATGAGTTCAGGGGATCTGACTGTTTTCTGGTCTCTGGGCACCAGGCACATAATGTGCACAAACAGCATGCAGACAAAACACCAGTACACAAAATAGTTCTTAAAAATAGAAATTACCGATCAGAACATGCCTGATGAATGTCCTGGAGGACTCGGTGTTGCTCTAAGCCTAGAGCTGAGGTGAGCAATGTGTTTAGCTGAGCATAATCTTGGGACCAGCCTGATGACAGGGCTGATACACTCAAACTTGACCAGTTATCCAGGGCTTGGCTGATGCAGGTTCTCTTTCCTCAAATTTAGGGAGTATTGCAGTTTGAGGCAGCTGTGAGGCTGTTTGGGTATTAAGTGGGAATTTTTAGTAAGAACAGAATGTGATTGTAGAACTTGAACAATGTATAAGCTTCCAAGAATTGGCTGATGCAAAGTCAGCAACAGGTGGAGCACTGGGAGGGCCTGTGTACCTTGTTCTTCATGTGAACCCTTCAGCGTCATCCTCTCTCACACCTTACAGAGCTTCCTCCATCCATAATGGAGCCCAGGCTGGGCTTGACCTCCCTGGCCTGCCACTGCACCCCACAAACTCCCAAGTTTTGGAACAGTCTCAACTAGTTTGGGCTGGCCTCTTTACCTCCCTGTTGCTAGGATTAAAAGCATGAGCCACCATGCCCAGCTCTGTTTATAAGTATAACTATAGCTGATGCTGGCCTTGGATTTTTTTTGGGGGATGGGGGTTTCGAGACAGGGTTTCTCTGTGTCATTTTGGTGCCTGTTCTGGAACTCGCTCTGTAGGCCAGGCTGGTCTTGAACTCACAGAGATCCGCCTGGCTCTGCCTCCCGAGTGTTGGGATTAAAGGCTGGGGTTACAGTTAGGAGGCAGTATAGGCTTTACAATCCTTTAATGCCTGTAGTCCCAGTGTGTGAGAGGTAGAGGCAGGAACACCAGAAGTTCAAGGTCATCCCCAACAATTTAAATTTGAGACTGGTTTAGCTTATGTGAGACCTCAAAAGCAAAGCTGTCCTTGTGTGGTAGCACACACACTGAATCCTGTCACCCTGGAGGCAGAGGCACAGAGATCCTTTGAGACCAGCCTGGTCTATACGTGAGTTCTAGCTATCTGGCACCATAGTGGGACCCTATATCAAAAGCAAGAATGCTCTTCCAGTTGTGGTGATTTGAGATCAATAAAATAATTAGCTTTTTAACTGCTAGTCATTGAGTTGCTGTTAATTTTTCAAAGCTAATTATGTTAACAGTAAGACCATTATCTAAATCCCCGCACTTGAGAGGCAGAGGCAGGCAGATCTCTGGGTTTGAGGACGGCTGGAGCTACATAGACTATCCCAACCAAAACAAAACAAAAACCAACCAAACAAAAGTAGTATCTTACCAAAAGAGCTCGGTGCTATTACTACTTTTATCCATCAAAATTTAAAAAGCCAGGTGTGGTGGCACATGTCTTTAATCCCAGCATTTAGGAGGCAGAGGCAGGCAGATCTGAGTTCAAGGCCAGCATGGTCTATACAGAGAAACCCTGTCTCAACATCCCCCCCCCCCCCACACACACATTGTCTTGCTTGTGATGTGATTGTGCCATATGGCTTGTGTGGAGTCAGGGCAACTGTGGACTGATCCTTTGTTCTCACATGGGTCAGTTAGCCTTACCCAAACCGTGTTTGATTGTTGGGTCATCCTCATCCTTATGGATTGCAATTTTTTGTTTTGTTTGAGGCAAGGACTCTATAGATGAGGCTGGCCTTGAAGTCCCGTAGATCCTTGTGCATAGCACTAAGATTAACTTTTATTACTGGTGGTTAATGTTACTATAAATCACAGGTTTAGCATATGTAAAACCCTAGGTTTGATTCCCAGCATACCTTCCCCACAACCAAGGATTGAAATGCCACAAACAGAGTTACAGGAGTTATATGTGAACAAATCTAATGGAAGTTTTGACCAAAAAAAGTGTGCATGAGGGTGTGCAGAGGACACACATTCAATTCCCTACACTTAAAGGGTGGCTCACAACTGTCTAGTTTCAGGGATCTGATTCCTAGCTTCTGGGGCCACCAGTCATACATGTAAGAGGCACATACATGCTTGAAGGCAAACAATCTCTAGAAAAGACATTACTAAAGGCTGGTGAAGCTGTTTGAGCTGCTTGCTTGCATCCTTTACCGCCCGGTGAGGACCTCACGAGATACTATGAATGAAAAATAATACGGAGTGCAGTTATCACCATTGGGTTTCTGGCGGTTAGCAGTTGGGTATGGGGAGGTTGCTGGGTAATGGGGGAGGCATTACCTTCAGTTCTGGAGTCACTAGTAAGTTATCCAGCCCCACCCATGCTCATGCAAGCAACCACAATTAAACTCTATGTTTAGAAACAGAGATCGGAGAGATGGTGCCCTGGCTGGTTTTATGTCAACTTGACACAAGCTAGAGTCATCTGATAGGAGGAAATACAAAAATGCCTCCGTAAGATCCAGCTGTAAGGCATTTTCTTAGTGATGGATGCGAGAGGGCCCAACCCCTTGTGGGTGATGCCATCCCTGGGCTGTTGGTCCTGGTTCTATAAGAAAACAGACTGAGGAAGCCATGGGGAGCAAGCCAGTAAGCAGCACCCCTCCATGGCCTCTGTATCAGCTCCTGCCTCCAGGTTCCTGTCCTGTTTGAGTTCCTATCTGACTTCCTTCAGTGATGGACTATTAAGTGTAAGTGTAAGCCAAATAAGCCCTTTCCTCCCCAACTTGCTTTTGGTCATGGTGTTTTCATCACAGAAATAGTAACCCAAACTAAGACAGATGGCTCAGTGGTAAAGAACACTGGCTGCTCTTGCAGAGGGTGGGGGTTCACTTCCCAGCACCCACATGACAGATCACACCTGTCTGTAACTCCAGTTTAAGGGGACCCGACACCCTCTTCTGGCCTCAGGCACTGTAACACACGGTGAAATACTTGTAACAATGTTTTAAAAGGTCTTTAAGACGCTGTGGGTCATTTGTTGGGAAGAAGGGACTCTGTGGGAGGGAGAAGAGTAAGGGGGTCCTGCGTGGTGAATGTGACTGAAACCGTAAGCCTGTTGTGCAGGGAGAGCTACCCTCCTTAGCGTGGCTGCCACTGTCATCAGGGCAGCTGTGACTAACAAGAGACCTGGAGGATCAGGCCTGTTGATGCTCCTTCCCAGAAGGGGGCTGAGCGGTCCTTCCCTGGTCTCGGTCACTCAGGTAGGCTCTCCCAGCCAGCTGTCTGTAATTCTGCCCTAATCTGGAACCGGGCCACAGTGTTGTAGACCTTGGAAGGTTATCGGACAGGGGCTCCACCTATGCCCCTATGGGAAGCTGCCATCCATGCTGGTGTGACTTTCAGACACTATGATGGCTTTGTTACCCAGACTACCTCATGCTCTAGTTTAATCAGTAAGCCGAATAAACTCATTGGTCCCTTAGGATGGGCTTCGGGGTTTGTCTTTGGAGCCTGGTGAGAAAGGGGTAGATGTTTGTTTAGAGTTCCTGAAACAACAGAATTGTCAAAGAAGAGATTAAAAATATTAAAAAAAAATAAGTCTACTAACTACTCCACACTTTTGGAAGTGACTTAAATCGCTGATTTTCTAACTGCCTTGAGAAGGCTCTCTTTGTTTACCTCACTTGATGTCCAAACTCTCTCAGAGATGGCTTGGAGGGACAGTAAAAGGACTGAGAACTCATGTAGAGTCTGCATCTGACAATGTTCACTTTACAGTTGCCCTCCATGCTCACTTTAGTCTGACTTTCTGGCTGTATGAGGAAGCCACACTGATTTTTGTCATGGCTGTGTTCAGTCAGGCATGTTTATACGACTGTTCTTTATTCCCAGTGGTCACTGGTTGAGAGGTGGTTCTGCTAGGACAGTCACTATACCCAGCGGGTCCTCTCTTCTGTCCCATCAGTCTGTTGGTCCACCCCAGGGCTGTACAGCAGCTTGAGGAGTAGGCTAGCATGGCTGGCCCTTGAGGGTTGAGGTATAAGGCCAGTCACAGCCGATATGGGGCTGCTGACACACTGACTCTCAGCCATGTCCTGACATCCACTGTGAGGCTGACAGTGGCTTCCTAAGTGTCTCTGACCCAGCCACCTCAGCCTTGAGAACTTACTACAAGTGAGCATTCTAGGATCCCTACACTCAAACTATCAGTTCAGAAACCCTAGGGCCTAGAGCTGGAGAGATGGCTCAGTGGTTAAGAAGAGTATTTGATACTCTGCAGGAGACTGAACTTGGTTCCAACACCCACATGGCAGCTCACAACATTCTGTATCTCCAGTTCCAGGGGATCTGATACCCTCGTTCTGGCTTCTGTAGGCACCACCAGTGCAGGCTCATTGTGAGAACCTCTGGGCGGGCCTTCTGGACATCCGATGATGACCTGTCATGGCCACTTTCCCATGCCACTGACATAGAAGTGGTGCAATCCAGAATCTTAACACCAGGTAAATATGTTAAAAGTTAAGTATTCAAGACCTTTTAACTACTTGGCAAGAAGAGGTTTTCAATACTTGCATCCGGGTCTTTCTGCTCCACATCCCAGAGTGACTAGGCTTAGGATAGGGTAGTGGGTAAAGTACTGTGCACTCTCCGGAAGCCCAGGCGCTCTCAGTGAGGGATGAGGGCCTTTGGGGAGGTGCCATGGTGAATGTCCTTATGGACAAAGTGTCCCACAGATACAGCAGCACGTCCGGTGTGACCCCCAGGGAAGTTTCCCATCCAGAGCAGAGTGGGTTTCATGTGACTCTTGTATCCAAACTCCACAGTTATCTTAGAGAGATGTAAACACTCACTGGCTGTGGGCCAGTCATGTTCTGGCCGGGAATGGGATGGTCTGTGGGGTCAGAGCTCCCAGGCAGATGGCTCTAACCCTGGGCCTGTGCCGTCAGGGCAGAGAAGAGGAAAGCAGTGGAGGAGTGGCCAGTGTTTCCTTTTGTGACTCCAGGGTAAGCCTAGAACACAAAAGCTCTAACTCAACAATCTACTCAACATAGGCAAGTTAAATTACCACTGTTTTTGAAATGGGGAGTATTTTGTTGGCACTGTTTTAAAGCCCTGAGGATGGGCTGGGGAAATAGAGTATCTGCCTGGTATGTACAGGGTCCTGAGTTCAAGCCCCAGTACCAGGGGGAGGGCTGAAGATTTGGAAGTGGTGGCTCATGTTATTCCGGCACTAAGAGGCCTCAGCAGGAGGATTACTTCCAGTTTGAGGCCAGCCTGAGCTATGGAATATATTTCTAAAAAAAAAAAAAAAAAAAAAGCCCTATAGCAGGGTGTGGTGGAGCATGACTTTAATCCCAGCACTTGGGAGGCAGAGGCAAGCAGATCTCTGAGTCTGAAGCTAGCTTGGTCTACACAGCGAGTTCCAGAACATCCAGAGCTATACAGAGAAACTGTCTTGAACTCTCCTCCCTCCCCTGCAAAAAAGGTCCTTACGCTTTGTGGGCCCCCTAGCACCTTGAGGCAGGAGGGGGTGTCTGACAGTTTGCTTGGGCAGGTTTTAGGAGGGACTCTTGGGCTTGCTCTGTGTACTTCTGTGAACTTTAGAGATGTGAACAGAGTCATTTCTATTAAGATTGGGGATAGTTTGAGCTACATGAGACCCTGTCTCAGAAACAAAACATAAAAAAAGTTAAGCTTTATTTGGAGGTGATTATAGATTTGCATGCAGTTGTAGAAAATAATTCAGAGAGCTTCCTTGAGCCCAATCTTCCCTGTGGAAAGTCCGGCACAGTACCACAAACCAGATTCCAACATGAGCAGGCCAACTCATATCACTGTTGAGACACAGTGTTCTGGCCAACCACTGATCTGTCCTTGATTTTTATAGTTTTATCACTTTATTTATTTATTTATTTATTTATTTATTTATTTATTTATTTATTTATTTATTTATTTATGTTGTTTTTTTGGAGACAGGGTTTCTCTGTGTAGCCCTGGCTGTTCTGGAACTCACTCTGTAGACCTGGTTGGCCTTGAACTCAGATATGCCTGCCTCTGGAATTAGATGTATGTGCTACCACCACCAGGCTGGTTTTATCACTTTAATACTGTTACATGAATGGGATAAGAGGGCAATATGGCTGCACCATCATTCACCCCATTGATCATGAAGTTGGTTTGGCTGATCTGGCTTCCTCCCTCATGGATCCATGCATCTATCCTGAAGCTGCACGTCAGCAGGAGACCTTCCCTGATGGAGGAGGACTGTTGTTCCTTTGAGGGTATTTGAGTGGCTGTGCTGAACCTCCAAGCAGGCTCTCAATAGTATTTTATAGATGGAACTGTACAGTGGGTAACTTGTGGAGGCCATTCTGTCACTGCACGGAACTCTTGACCATCTCTCAGAGTTGCTTTGTGTCTGTAAGCAGGTGCTTGTGTGTGCAGAGATCCATGTCAGGTGTCTTCTGTCTCCCTCACTACTCTGCACCTTGTTTTTTTTTTTAATTTTTAAATCTATTTGATTTGAGACACAATCTCACTATGTACTCCTGGCTGGCCTGGAACTTGCTACGTAATGCAAGCCGGCTTCTAACTCACAGCAGTCCTCCTGCCTCTGTCTTCAGAGTGCAGATTGCTGGTGTGCACCACCATGTTCAGCATATGTACTTAGAAGAAAAATGAAAGAAAGGAAAACAGGAAAGAAAACCCAAAGCTAGACAGAATGTTTGGGGTGGGGGTTGGCTAGGATCTCCAGGCACCCCAGCCTGGCGGCAGGGGCTGTGTTCCCACACTCCTCAGGGCCCTGCAGGACAGCTGATGGTTTCAGGCAGGAAGCTCTTAACAGATAAGGCAGCAGCCTCCAGCAGATCCGCTGGGCTGCCTGACAGCCCAGGCACGGTTCCCTCTGAGTTGGACTGCAGCTGCTCTCTGTAAATAAGCAGCCATGAGGCTCCTTGGAGCAGTATCTCTGCTAGCCGGGGACCGTCAGGACAGCACTTTCGCCTAGTGTACATCCAGGTAGGCGATGCTGCCCCAGGAAACTGGGCCAGGATTGGACAGGCGCCGAGGCATGGACAGGCGGGCAAATTTCCAAACAGGGCTGGAGGGTAGACTTGGGCTTTGGAATTTGGCAAGGTGGGACACAGTCTCAGATCCAAACATCCTGGAGTTGGTCCATAAGTCAGACACTAGAGCTTCAGAGTTTGTTTAGCTCCGTAGTTAGTGGAGGAATCTTTGAGAAGCCAAAAGAGGCAAATTCTGATCAATCAGTTGAGACATGATGTAATTACAGGCATTTCGGTTAGTGCACAGAGGTTTGAATGAACACTTCTAACTCCAGTGGGGGAGAAATGTACCCCAGACTCCTGCTGAGCAGCATTTATGGGGTGACGGCTGAGCAAGCCCTGTTCAGAGACCTACAGCTCAAAGGCACACTCAGCAGTGGATCTCAGGTGGAGGGCAGTGGCAGGGAGGGCAGGAGGGACATTTCCCTCAGGGGAGCCATCTACCAGCAGGCATCCAGTCTCCCAACATGGGGAAGGGGAGCATCTCGAAAGGGCAGTTGCTTGTGCCCTGACACCAGGCTTCGGGACCGGCTGTTGTGTCTGCGTGGCTCCGGGTGGGAGCTCCAAATGGAAATGGTTACATTTGTAGGCTGCTGCATGGCATAAAGTGGGGCTCAATTTGATGAGTAATCCTGCCTGGGAGAGCAGAGCTCCAAACCCCCACATTTAGTGTCATCTCCAATTTTGAGACATCTGTGCCAGAGAAGAAAGAGAACAGACAGTTCTCTCCTCACCATGGTGTTGGTAAGATCCTCTCTGAAGCCTCATGGTGGGGGTGGGTCACTTTAGGACAGAGGAGGCTTCCAAATGGTGGGGCTGTTTCCAGCAGACAGTTCAGAGTCTGTGAGATCCAGGGCTCCACGGTGGGTGTTTAATGGACGTGTCAACGTGTGTGTTTGGCAGCACAATTCATGTTCCCCCCTGACCTGCTCCCAGTTCACTCTGACGTGTTTCTTTTGTGAATTCCACATTTAATCTCTCCCCAGAAAGCTGTCTCTTTGATGGAAGTGGGGCCTTAGTCTTTGGGCCCTGGCTGAGAGATAAGGATGTTGTTTTTAAAAAGATTTCAGGATTGCTGCATCGTCTCCGTTTATAAAACCAAATTCCTTTCCTGAGCGGCAACTGCCCAGGACACAGACTAGCTTCCTGGTGGGCATAGCGCCTCCCCGTGTGTCCACCACCTCCCCCTGTGCCCACCTGCCCTGTTCTGGAGCAGGTCTGGGGCAGGAATCAACTGGAGGACAGTGCCCTACCACATCCACTAGCTCAGATGAAAACTGACAGGAAAGACACACAGGCAGGAGAGTCAGTGAGAGAGAGTAGATGACGGACGAGGAGCCAGCCCTGAAACGGTCTGCATTTCTGCTCTCCCTGCTTGCCTGCTGTGGCCTGACCTTTGTAAAGCCACACTTAAGGCTTTCACAGGAGAGAAAGTGACACTGTCCTGCTGGACACCGGCTGTCTCTGGAGGAGCATTTTTGTTGTTTTTTTTCTGAGACAGGGTTTCTCTGTGTAGCCCTGGCTGTCCTGAAACTTGCTCTGTAGACCAGGCTGGCCTCGAACTCACATCAATCTGCCTGCCTCTGCCTCCTGTGCCACCACCACCTGGCAATGTTTGTTTCTGTGGGATACATTACTGTGCCCTCTTGGGAGCTCCCAAGAAACACCTGAACAGTTTTTAATCCAGCAAATTGGGTGCGGCAAAGAGTATTTGCTCCCCCCGCAACACCCTTTTCCTTAAAAGATATTATTATTATTTTGAATTTTTTGGATAGGGTATCATTATGTAGCCTTGACTGGTTTCAAACTCACAGGAATCCTCTCTGCTTCCCACGTACTTGGATTAAAACCATGGGCCTCCATATCCAGCCTTTTAAATCATTGAGCCACCTCTTTAACGCCCTCTACAACTCCCCTTTTTTGTTTGAGGAAGCGGAATCTTACTATGTAGCCCTGGCTGGCTGCTGGGTGTGGAACTCACTGTTGGAGCCCAGGCTGGCCTTGAACTCATGAACTTCATCATTCTGCCTCCCCAAGTGCTGGGATGACAGGTGTGCATCACCATACATGGCCTCGTGTTACCTTTGTAGCTATCCAGAAGAAGGAACCAAACACTTGCTGCTTAGGTAACAGCTGAGTGTGGAGAGTTAAGAGCACTGTGGGGGAGAGTGCTCACCCACAGGTTTTGCAGTCCCCTGTTTCTTAAATTGCTGGAAATTTCAGGAAAATGACAGCAGAGCAATCATCCAAGTGTGACAAGAGTTCCGTGTAAGCTTAGCATCACATTTCTCATACATTTATGAACCTGTCCATGCATAAGTAACTCTTAAAAATGAGAAGCTTGGGAGTCTAAACAATGCCCCAGCATGCAAATCCCTGCTGAAGCCTAGAAGTGGATACCTAGGCCTTAGGTTCACTGATTTCTGTCCATGGTGATTTTCCGTGTGTGTGTGTGTGTGTGTGTGTGTGTGTGTGTGTGTGTGTGTGTGTGTATGTATGTATATGTGTCTATGTGTGTGTGTCTATGTGTGTGTGTGTCTATGTGTGTGTCTGTGTGTATGTGTCTGTGTGTCTGTGTGTCTGTATGTGTCTGTGTGTCTGTGTGTGTGTCTGTGTGTCTATGTGTGTATGTGTCTGTGTGTCTGTGTGTCTGTATGTGTGTGTGTCTGTGTGTATGTGTCTGTGTCTGTGTGTCTATGGTCTATGTGTGTATGTGTCTGTGTGTATGTGTCTGTGTGTGTGTGTATGTGTCTATGTGTATATGTGTCTGTGTGTGTGTGTCTGTGTGTATGTGTGTCTATGGTCTATGTGTGTATGTGTCTGTGTGTATGTGTCTGTGTGTGTGTCTGTGTGTCTATGTGTGTATGTGTCTGTGTGTGTGTGTCTGTGTGTATGTGTATGTGTGTGTGTGTCTATGTGTGTCTGTGTGTCTATGTGTGTATGTGTCTGTGTGTCTGTGTGTCTGTATGTGTGTGTGTGTGTGTCTATATGTGTATGTGTCTGTGTGTATGTGTCTGTGTGTGTGTTTGTGTGTATGTGTCTGTGTATGAATGAAAGCAGAAACTTGGTGCTTTCCCAGCCCACCATTTCCCCTAAGCCCTTCTGCATGTGGTCAAGTTCTCTCTGCTGTTGTCTCCTCACAGCTTTTGATCATTCGACTATTTCAGGAGTGGGCACCTCATTAATTAACTTCCGGCTGCCACAGCTTCCCCTCTCTCCCACCACCCTGCAAGCATGGATGTACACGCAGAGGGCTGGCAACCTTGTCAACTGCCAACAGCTCAGAGCTCAGGGACCTAGAGTGTGGGAGGGTGGGGAGTGTGAGCTGGGCCTCAAACCCCAACCTCCTAAGGACAGACCAGTGTTGAGGTCAGCAGAGTCCATGCTGAGACTTTGTCTTCGTGGTTTGAGCCATGCAGGGTGTCTTCAGATGATGGAGTTGGCTTTCCATTTTATACCTCTGGACTTCCAGCAAAGTCCTGAGGTCAAGGTCAGTGAGTCAATCCTCTTGGTTTATGCCCTCAGTGCTATACCCTTCAATCCTGTGCTCGCTGGTCCCTGAGCCTCCCCTCCGCTTAGGTGGGAAGTCAGCATCTAGTGTCAGCAAACCGGTCTTCTCTTGTCTCTTGTGGGTACTTGAGCTGCAAGAGGAGTTTCAGATGGCGTCCCTTCACACAGCGGGGCCAGTAGATTCTGATCACCAGATGCAGCTTTCTGTTGTCAGACACGATAGTGGCAGTATGTCTGGACATCTTGACTTCTCCACACATTCTGAGGAGACTCCTTCCCTGGAAGCAAATGTAGCAGGGGCTTGGTATTCCTCCAGTGAGTGTCAGCACAGCCAGATAGTGGGTCTGCAGACTGTAAAGGCTCCTGGGACATGGTCTGTGCTCTTACTCTCTGGACTTCTCTGTGGAGAGACTCGACAGGATGATCTCACTGGCTGGGTATGTGGGTCCCTCGCCTCTGATGGCTAGATGGCTGGAGTCAGGGAGGGATGCAGTGTCTTGATCTTTGAGTTGGGCAAGTTAAACCATTGCTCCCTCCACCCAGGTTCACAGGCTTCTTTGACTGGGAAGTCAACTATAGTCCCTCCCACTCCCCCATGCCTGCTCTCAGTAACCCCAGCACTGTTCTCCAGGGGCTGTAGCTGGCCATTCCCTCGAATTTCCATAGAATCCAGTGAAAACCAATCAGCCTTGCCTCCGCAACACATCCCAACTACACCTTTTTTCTCCGCCTCTGCCATGGTGTCCTCACAACTTCTTGCTACTGCACACCGAGGTCTCCTCTGTCTGACCTCTTCACTTCCTTTCTTTTTGTTGCTGTTGTTTTATTTTTGGAGACAGGGTCTCACTATGTAGCTCTGGCTGTTTTGGAACTGACTCTAGACCAGGCTGGTCTCGGGCTCACAGAGATCTGCCTGCCTCTACCTCCCAAGTGCTGGGATTAAAGGCGTGCGCCACCACACCACCCTGAGTCTCACTTCCATTCTTATAAATATAAATATTCTAATAAATATGGTCTCCAAGAAGAGCCAAGTGGCCCTCTTATAAAGCCATGCCCTGTTCAAAAGCCTCCATCTTGTTTTGTGGGGACCCCCCCCCCCCCCCCACACACACACATAAGGTTTCACAGTAGCACTAGACCTGAGTCTTCACTCTGTTCAGGGCTTTTTCTCCTCTGTGCTCACCAGGCCGGGCAACTTCTCCCCAAGCTCTGTTCAAGAGGCTACACCGCGTGTTGCTTCACCAGGGAGGCCCCCTGACAGGTCTCTAGATAGCAGTTGCATGACCAGGCCATCTCACCCTGCCTCTCCTCCCAGGGGAAGATCACTCTTCTCTGCTGCTTATCTGTCCATCCTTTTGTCTCTTTTAAAAAAGGTTTATTTATTTTTGTATGTGCACATGCCTGCCTGTGTGTGTGGATGCACACCAGGTGTGTACAGTGCCCACAGAAGCTAGAAGAGGGCATTGGGTCCCACTGGAACCGGGACTACAGGTGGTTGTGCACCACCATGGGGGTCCTGAGAACTAAACCTGCATCCTCTGCAAGTGCAGCAAATATTCTTAACCACTGAACCATCTCTCCCGTCCTTGACTGTCTCCTTGGACTGGAGTTTAGTTCTTTAGTTCTTTCTCCATCCAGCACCTGGAACTGTGCCTGGCAGAAGGTTGGCACCTGGAAATATTGCTGAGGAGTTGACTGACCCAGGGGATAGGTGCCAGGAAGCATCAGAGGCCTTCTGAGGTTAATAATTGTGTAGTTGTTGCTATAATTGCTATTGTGTGGTTCTGATGCCCTAAGGGAAACCCCCTACCGCAGCTTTCAGGCCCAGCTTTCCTTCTTGCTTTTTATACATCTTTCTCCTTTTCTTCTTGCCACTACTGTTGGCCTTTCTTATTTCTTCTCTCCCTTCTCTGCTTTCAAGCCATCTAGTGTGGATCTCTGTTTGTACAGGGCTATCCCCCTCTCAGACATGCCCCAAGCTCTGCAGGAGGGTCATGTCTTGCATAGGAGCCTTTGTCTTCTTGGAGCCTGAGTCTCTGCCATTAGGATGAGTTGAGCCTCCTGGGCTGGCCTTGTACTCAGCAAGGCTGGACAGTGCAAGTGACCTTCAGCAAAGGCTTAGGGAAAGCGGTCCAGGCACACATGGTGCCCTAGCTGCCGGGAAACTTAAGAGACTCTCAGTGGAGGTTGGTAATTGGTATGTAAGCGAGCCAGCGAGAAAGGGGAGTCCACGAGTGTGGCCTGCTGTTCGCAAAGCCCTGTCTGTGTCAGATCCTGTCACTGTTTATGCCTTCCTTCTTCCAGGAGTCAGCGTCCTGCCTGCACTCATGATGACGAGGGACCTGGCTCTTGCAGGCATGCTGATTAGCCTGGCTTTCCTGTCACTGCTACCATCTGGATGTCCTCAGCAGACCACAGAGGACGCCTGCTCTGTGCAGATTCTTGTCCCCGGCCTCAAAGGTAATGGCTCTTCTGCCACTCTGGTCCTGCCTCTGGGTGTCTCAGTTTCCTGCATGGCCTGGTACTTCAGCACACACTCGCAAAGAAGGGCTCTGGTCCAGGTGCATCCTGGGAAATCTGCCCATCTGTTGGGTTTGGGATTCCCTGACTATGAGACCAAGGTTCCATGACATTTAAACATTTTCTAGCCAAGGAATTGCGGATTTCTCATTAGTGATGTATATGCAACACAGCCTCCTCCTCAGGAGCCTTGTGTGAAGGTCTGGCTTATTTGATCTTCTCTGGCATGAGCCGGAGGGCTGGGGTCAACCAGCCTCTTTCCTGCTGTATGATGCTACAGTGTTTACATCCCATGGCCTATAGGGATAAAGCCTGCTTGCAAGACACATTTGCAAATAGAACAACAGTCCAGGGATGTCTGTGGCTTTTCTTCAACTGACAATGAGTATATCAAAGTAGTGCGTGTTCTGCATGAAAATGATGGACACACACCTTCCTCGTTGGGTCAGACATTATCAAAGTGTGACCTGGATGAAAGCGCCGTGTTCACAGATTTAGATCTGACTTGAGAGGGCACAAGCGGTAAATTATTTCCAGGAGCGAAGAGAAAGCGGCACTAGTGACAGTGGGAAATGAGATGGCAGCTGAAATGTCAACCTGTCCTGATAGACAGACAGCTGATCGGAACACCATGGGGGGTGGGGCGTGTAGCTGGGATCTCTGTGGCTTGTTTATCGCCACCTATAAGGAGTCCTTCCCACCCCACTGAGCTTTGAGCAGTGCTGTTGAGCAGTGCTGGGGAACATCTTTGGTCTTGATGACCACTTAGGGTTGTACTCCAAGGTCCCTAGGAACAGCTAGACTTATTGTCAAGCTTCCAGGGAAGGTCTCCGTCAACTTGGGTGTGGCCCTTTAGAGGCGGAGGTCAAACATGTTTTTGAGACAAAGGGTCTCACTATGAAAACCTGGCTTGCTGGGAACTTCCTATGTAGAGTAGCCTGGATTAAATTTACAGGACTCTACCTGTTTCTGTCCCCTGAGTGCTGAGATCAAAGGCGTGCACCACCACATCTAGCAAAAACAACTTTTTTAAAACAAAATAGTTTCAGGACATAACGTAATTGTGGACAGAGTTGAGGAACTGTGTTGGGGAAGTTTCAGAGTCTGGGCATCAAGGTGGTTTTTTTGGGAGATCAGCAGTGGGAAGCTCAGGGGTCTTGTCCCCTTCTTCCCACTGTGGGTGAAATGGGAAGATTATCCGAGAGAATGACATTTAAATGAAGAGGCTTTTCTGATTGTTTGAGAGATAAAAAATTCTTTATTCAGGCCGTGTGTGTGTGTGTGTGTGTGTGTGTGTGTGTGTGTGTGTGTGTGTACAAATATGTGTGCTTGTGTGTGGAGGCCAGAGGTCAACCTTCGGCATTGTTCCAGGTGATACCAACTTTGGATTTTGAGATAGGTTCTCTCATTGACCTAGTGATAACCAATTAGTCTAGTCTGGCTAGCCAGGGAGCCCCAGGGATCCTCTTGACTCTGTCTCCCCAGCACTGGGATTACAAGTGTGTGCTACTACGCTTGGCTTTTTATTTATTTTTTGGTTTTTTTTTTTTTTTTTTTTTTTTTTTGGTTTTTCGAGAATGTTTCTCTGTAGCTTTGCACCTTTCCTGGAGCTCACTTGGTAGCCCAGGCTGGCCTCGAACTCACAGAATTCCGCCTGGCTCTGCTTCCCGAGTGCTGGGATTAAAGGCGTGTGCCACCACCGCCCGGCTGCTTGGCTTTTTATATGGCAAACACATTCCTAACAGTCGTTACTCCAGCCCCAGGCACCATGTTCTAAAGCGTTTTCATTGGTGCATTTTATCTCATTCCTGCTATAGCATGTTAAGTGCTGTTTCAGGGTCTTATGGTGAGCTGGGATCAATATGAACAGTTTTTCAATAAAATTAGAGACAGACAGACACAGGATGCTTTCAAGCGGAGGCCAGGTGGAAGTTGTGTGGTGGGCTTAGTGTCCTTCTTGCCTTCTTTTTAAAGGGGAGGGGCCATCAGGTAAGTGTCAGTGCAGTGGATGGTGGTCTGGTTCACTCAGCCTTACCCTAATCCAGGTTCTGATGCCCAAAGAAGCTGTGGTCAGGCCCAGAGCCTGCGCTTGGCTTGTCCACTCATCTATCATGGCCCGTGTCTTCATCAATGCACATCCCCCTGCATCAAATAAGTGAGAGCCATGAGTAAACTCTAGGAGCTGTGTAGAAAACTTCTAGAAAAGCTGGAAGGTGTGCTTACGGTTACCTCTCAGTGAGTACCGCCAGTGCCACTGCTGTGTGGAGTCCTTCCTTCAGGTGCTCTGGGAGAGGAGAGTCGCGGTAGCTGCTTACTGTGACGCACACAGTGATGCACGCAGTAGTAAAGAATCATGTCCCCACCCTTGCCCATCTTTGGTGGGCTCTGCAGTGGTGGGTTTTGCTGTTGCTCCTCTGTGGGTGATCCTGTTGCTCCTCTGCAGTCCAGCCCCTCAGCTTAGCCTTGGAAGGCTCCTCTGGAGAGCCTTCGATGCCCTTCAGTCTGTGTGCCTTTCCTCAGAGCACTGCTCTGCTCTGGCTGGCTGCATCCTCCTCACTCACTGCACAACTTCAAAAGCCGCTTCGCTGGGGAGATGTCTGATCTGACGCATCCTGTGTCACTTTTGCTGAAGCTAGTGCCTCATTCTGTCCTGTACCCTGTGTGGCTAATGAGAATCCTCGCATCAATCTGACTTACACTGTTTCCCCTCCCGGACGGCTCACAGAACGCTCTCTTTGTTGCTGACGTTAGTTTGGTGCTGTTGGCCTGACACATCTTTGCTGTTCGGCCCTGATTTTCCCCGTGTGGTTCTCTGCAGGCTTTTACTGTATTCCTGCTTTCATGCACCCACCCCTACCCCCAGTGCCAGGAAGTGTATCTGGCAGCTCTTTACAGACTCTCCGGTGGCGTTACCATCATTCTCTTCCTCTCTCTGTCTCTCTGGAATTCTTGTGAGATGGGTTTGGGCGTGTATGAGTTGGTTTTTGTTTTTGTTTTTGTTTTTGTTTTCTCTCTCTCCCATCTCAACTTGATAACTTCAAAACAAAACCATCAGGGCTTCACAGTTGAGTGTCTCCCAGAGAAAAGAACTCCTGGTCCTAATGTTTTGTCTCATGGGGAGGGAGGGAGCGTTCATCCTGCCACTGCTTTCTAGCTGGGAGGGTGGATTTCAAGCAGAAGGTCCCCAGTGGGATTGCTGTCACACTCACTGCCCCGCACAACCATGTCTCCTGTCTCTTTTTCTCTTTTTCTTTTTTTTTTTTTTGACAGGGTTTCACTATGTAGCCCCGGATAGCCTGGAATTCGCTCTATAAACCAGGATGTGTAGAGCAAGAAGCAGAGACATGTGGATCTCTGTGAGTTTGAGGCCAGGCTGGTGTATAACTCAGTGTAGCCTTTGGTGACCTTCTGTCTTTTAGGGAGGGAAAAGCAGAATCAAATCTGTGGTGTAGGAAGGTCATTCGATCAGGATTAGGTTGGGGTTGAGGCTAGAGAGTGGGTCCCCCGGTTCCCTCTGACTCAGCTCCTCTCCACACACCAGTGTACTCATCCTGTCAGATATCCTGACTGCTTATTTACTCCTCTGTCTCTTGTACCTGGCCACTGAACCCCAGAACACGGAGGGCACACTTTACTGGTCCCATGTAGCCCACATGGAGGACCACCATGTGCGCTCCGGGGTCATGCCGTAAGGACGAGGAAATGCTCAGTGGACACCCCACTTTGTTCTCCCCAGCATGTCACCAGGCCACATGGTGTTTCTCTGGGGGTCACCTAGCAGTGAAACTCCTGCTTACTTTTCCTTATTGTTGGAGCAGTGTGGAGAGCCCTGTGGTGGGAAGACAGACTGGAAATCAGCCCAGAAGGGACAGTGGCTGGAGGGAAAAACCTGTTCCCTGAAAAATAAAGCAGTGTAGGGAAAGCTCTTCCTGAGCTTAGACTGGGGCACCCAGCACTTGCCCTGGTGATGCTGGTTGCAGTTTGGAGTGGGGTGGGCAGGGAGTAGGGCCAGACCAGCTGCACCATGTGTGAGAGCCTTTCTAATTCTTCTGTATGGATGCATAACACCATAGTCCTGTCCTAGCCAGACAGTGCCTAAACAGATATAACTTCTTCCACAGGGGATGCAGGAGAAAAGGGAGACAAAGGAGCCCCCGGACGGCCAGGAAGAGTCGGTCCTACAGGAGAAAAAGGTACTCACGATGCTAGCCTTGATGGGGACAAGGAGGGTGGGAGGTGGAGGGGACAGAGCTCTCCTGAGACAGACAGAGTTTAGGGAAGGAAGGCATGGTGCTGGCCATCAGGGCCCTGATGAAAAGCTGCGCCCTTGAAACACAGTGGTGACTCTCTGGGAGTGCCAAGGCTCAGGATCACGCATAAGCTTTATATAAGGAGAATGCTGTCATGAAGATAGTCTGATGGAGGAGCACAGCACAGCCTAAGGCATTGGAACAGTAGCTGACCCACCTACCAAATGGAAGTGGTTGTATGCAAGCAGTTGTATGCTGCCTGATGTGGTGCTGGGAATGCAGCTCAGGTCCTCGGGAAGAGCAGCATGCGCTCTTAACCACCGAGTGGTTTCTACTTTAATAAAACAATGCGATTCTGCCTGGGGGCAGTTGATGAGACCAAACTGCACATTCAAAGGCGCTAGAGCCTGTGTGTGAAGGAACCAGAACACACAGGCACAGGGATGAGAACACAGATGGACAGGGATGAGAGTACCAATGTAGAGAACCAGGCTGTGGATGTCGTGTGGCAACATCACACACAAAAGGGAGGATGTCCAAGGGGAGGGGCTGGAGGGCAGGGGTGCTCCAGTTCACATACATGTAATGGACTTTGAATATGCATGAGGATGAAGGTGGTCACACACGTGAGGAGCCACCACAATGACAGGTGCCCGGCGTGTATGGCTGCCGTCTATAAGATGGCATCATCTTTACTATTTTATATTTTAAAATGTTTTATTATTGTTAAAAGATTACGTGTATATATGTGTGTGTGTCTGTGTGTGGGTTTGTGCGTGTGAGGGCAGTGTCTTCGCAGATCAGAAGGGGGTGTTGGACTCCCTGGAGTTGGAGTCACCTGCCATGACTACTGGGCCCTTTTGAGGAACAGAGCTCACTCGTTCTCTTAAAAGATTGACTTCTATTATTTTAATCATGTGTGTGTGTGTGTGTGTGTGTGTGTGTGTGTGTGTGTGTGTGTGTTTGTGTGTGTTTGTGTGTGCCCACAGAGGTCAGAGGCACCAGAACCCCCTGGAGCTGGGTTTACAGGCAGTTGTATGCTACCTGATGTTGTGCTGGGAATACAACTCAGGTCCCCAGGGAGAGCAGCGTGTGCTCTTAACCACTGAGCCAACACTCCAGCCTCAAAGTTTTGTTGCTTTTTAAAATTTTTTTTGAGACAGGGTCTCACTATGTAGTCCTGGTTGGCCTGGTTGCTATATAGACCAGGCTGGCTTTGAACTCACAGAGAGATCTGCCTGCCTCTGCCTACTTTACATTTTTTTAATCGTTATTAAAAGATATATAGAAAAGCATTATCAAGCCAGTCATGGTGGTGTATGCTTTTAATCCCAGCACTCTGGATGAGGGGCAGATGGATCTCTACGTGTTACAGGCCATCCTAGTCTACATAGCTGGAGACCCTGCCTTAAAAAGCAAAGCAAGCTGGTTATAGTGGCACATGCTGGTAGGATTTGCTGAAGGAGGCAGAGGCAGGAGGATCATGAATTTGAGGACAGGCTGGGCTACATATTTGCTGGGTGGTGGTGGTGCACACCTTTAATCCCTGTGCTCAGGAGCCAGAAGCAGGCAGATCTCTGAGTTCAAGGCCATTCTGGTTTACAGAGTGAGTTCTAGGACAGCTAGGACTACACAGAGAAACCCTATCTTGAAAAAAAAAAACCCAACTTGAACCAAACTAAAAAACTCAACAAACAAACAAAAAAGAAAAAGGAGAACATTTTCACCATTTATGCCCCATCTGTGATAATATGTACTAGACAACACCACAGCTGATCTTATGACATTGGAAAGTTGTTTTCTGTTCAGAAAAAAAGAGAGACTAAATTAAAAAAATATGTGAAGACTGTCTTAAAATGTTTTCAGGTTTGTTCTCTAATTTCCCCCATTGTTCACTTCAAGCCGTATGAGCTGCACTTGTCTCAGAAGTGGGAGAGGCCAGGTGTGGAGGCACACACCTTAAGGCCAGCAGGTGGATCTCTGAGAGTTTGAGGACAGCCTGGTCTACATAGTGAGTTTTAGGCCTGTGGTGGTATTGTGTTCCCCAAAACATTGTGCACGCTAATAAACTTATCTGGGTTCAGAGAAGAGAACAGCCACAATATTAAACATAGAGGATAGGCAGTGGTAGCACACGCCTTTAATCCTAGCATTCCAGAGGCAGAACTCCCTCTGGATCTCTGTGAATTCAAGGCCACATAGGATACAGCCAAGCATGGTGACTCACGCTTTTAATCCCAGAAAGTGAGCCTTTAATCCCAGGAAGTGATGGCAGATAGCAGAATGGTATATAAGGCGTGAAAACCAGGAACTAGAGCTGGGTTAAGCTTTTAGGCTTTTGAGCAGCAGTTCAGCTGAGATTCATTCTGGATGAGGACTCAGAGGCATCCAGTCTGAGGAACAGGACCAGTTGAGGAACTGGTAAGGTGAGGTAGCTGTGGCTTGTTCTGCTTCTCTGATCTTCCAGCATTCACCCCAATAACTGGCCCCAGGTTTGATTTTATTAATAAGACCTTTTAAGAGTCATGCTACACAGGCCAGCCAGGGCTACACAGTGAGACCCCGACTTAAAAAAAATGTAGGCTTCCCAGGAATCTGATTCAGGTCCAGGCGTGGGGTCGGGTGGGGGTGGCTCACAGTCACAGGTCCCATGAGTTCTGGACACAGGCTAGCACATGCAGCCGCCTCAGGGTGGGTGGGATGCCTGGTGAGCTATCAGAGCACAGTAGAGGTATCCTAGGCTGCAGCCGTTTGTCTTCTTGGTGAACATAACTCCAGGCCCTGCAGACTCTGGCCTCGTGTCATCTCTGGAAGGAGATGGACTGGGTACCTGCAGCAGTGCTGGGAGGTGCTGCTAGATTTCTTCTAGAAAGCTCTGTCCACTCATCCTTCACTTCCAACTGTTGTTGGGCTGTGGATGCAAAGCCCTGGTCCACGAGGTGGTGGACTTTCCCTGTCCTGTGTAGAGACAGCATCAACCGTTCTGTTCCTCAGAGCAGTCTCGAGGCCGCCCAGAGCCCTCTGCAGCCTCTGGCTTTATGTCTCAACTGCAATCACCACCATATCGGTAGCTGGGTTTGGCCTTCAAACTTGTGCCGACATCCTTTTATAGTCTCTGTAGCTTTGGCTTGTGAGTGTTCTGGTAGCCTCACCAGGACCTTCTGTTCTTCTAGAACATTCTCCTGTGATTCTATTCTCTCTGTCACTTGTAATGTAGATGCTTTCCTCAGCTAACCTGAAACTGATTCTCACTATGTCCAAATCGGGCACTGTTCAGAAAGTCCAGGAGCTGATGGACCCGAGCCTCCTCTGCATCATCCAGGCTCCGTTCTCCTCCTCACATCTCAAATAGCTCAGTTGCCAAGCAGCAAGCCAAGCAGCAGGAACCAAGTACCAGGCCTTGCTGCCCCCACCTTCAGTCTGGCTAACGTCCAGGCCCATTCTGCGCTGTGGGCTGCCTTCCCCACCAGGCTGCAAGCCTTACACACGTCTGCTCAGGGCAGGTGCTGTGGGCAGGCCCTCCTGGGGCCTCCAGCTTCATCTTTTGGGGATAGCTCAGATCTTCCCTATTGCCTCCTGGAGGCTAGAGCAATCTCTCTAAAGTGCAGATGTGGTACTCTGGCTTTCCTATGGTTTGAGAATTCTTGGGGATTAAGATTCCTGGCATTTTGCTCTTCTAGTACCTGAAAGTAGGGCCCAGGCATGTGCCTCTGCCCCAGTGTCCCCTTGAAGAGGCCCACGTATAACCCCCAGCCCACGAGTGCCCTCTCTGCTTGGTGCCACCCTCACATTGGTTGGCGTGTTAGTACTGGATTCTGCCTCTCTAAGGAATGTGCCTCCCTCTCTTTCTTCCTCCACATCTATTGTTTTCCTGCTGTCTAATAATTGTGCTCATGCATTCCTACAATCCAGTACTCAGGAGGCTGAGGCAGGAGGGTGGTAAGTCTGAGGCCAGCCTGGGCTACATAGTGAGATATTATTCCAAAAACAAAACAAAACAAACAAAACAACATAAAAACAAAACCTTCGAAAATAAAGCCAAAACAAAATATAATACATGACATTTCAACCAAGGCAGCAAATTCTAGACAGAGATAATAATGATAGTAATGTGCCAGAAATGAAGGCATGGGGCGGTGGGGAAGTGTTGACCAGAGCAGAACAGGTACAGGGAGGTTTAATGATGAAACACACTGCAGGAGACAGGTGCAGGGGCTGGATTCTGAGAGAGAGAGAGAGAGAGAGAGAGAGAGAGAGAGAGAGAGAGAGAGAGAGAGAGAGAGCCTGAGAAGGAGTTCTTTATAAGGGTTAAAGGGGAGCTATGTGGTCTGACCTCTGTCCAGGCATGGATCCAAGCAGGCACCTCACTATCTTGTTAAACAGTAAATGTTACAGCATGGGTCATCATTCCTAATTGGAGCCATGTGGGATGAGGTTCAGAGGCGATGTCACAGGCCGCTGGGGTTGGGTTCTGTTCTAAGTGGTCGGAGTCTCATTGTTAATGTGGGATTTTCCGATTCTCTGTTTTGAGGCATGGTCTCGTGTATCACAGGCTGGCCTTGAACTTGCCCTGAAGCCGAGGATGGCTTTGAAATCATCCTCCCGATTCAGCCTCCTGAGTGCTGGGGTCCCAGGTGAGCATCCCCACACCCAGTGTATGGCTGCCTTTCCTGTTGTGGTGATAGGATACCCGGACAAAACCAAATCCAAGGAGGGTTTGACTCATGGTTTGAGATGAAAGTCTGTCGTCTCTCTCATTGGCAGAACTTGAAGCCACCTTTTAGGTAATGTACCACTCCATTAATAGCCTGATCTTATGTAAATAAAACCTACTGGAGACCCCAGGGGCAGCACCTGTGGCTTGTGAGGTGGGTGGCTCTGTTAGTGACCGGCATCTTCAAAGGATGCCGTGATGGAGGCTCGGTGCGTGCCACAGTTGAGAG